TTGGAATTAGATTACGCAATGGAGAGCCGTGGAAAAAGGTCTTCGGGCCTGTTTTTATATACCTCAACTCAGGTTCAAGTAACAAGCCAAGGACACTTTGGGAAGATGCTAAAGCACAGGTAATTTACATTCAACAAAATACAATAAATAAATATTTGAAAACTTCCCATTTTACAAATCATGACATTATTATGTCATTTTCGTTCCCCAACCTAACTCACATTAATCATTTCAATTCATCAGATGCAAAAAGAAACCCAAAAGTGGCCATATGACTTTCCAAGTTCTGAAGACTACCCTCAGGCCAATCAACGGGGCACCATAAGTGGTCGATTATTAGTTCGTGACCGATATCTCAGTCGAGAATTCATGCCTGCAAAATCAGCATATGCGGGATTGGCTCCACCGGGAGATGTGGGATCTTGGCAAACAGAAACTAAGGCAATTATATTTTGACATAAATTTAACAATATCTATTTCTTTATAACTTTTCAACATTAGGTAACATGACATATTAATTATTTTTCTTAATATTATTATCAGGGTTATCAATTTTGGAATCAAACTGATGAAAATGGTTACTTCACGATAAGTGGCGTTCGAGGAGGTACTTACAGCTTGAATGCTTGGGTCGCAAGAGTGATGGGGGACTACAAACATGACACTGATATTGTCATCACGCCAGGTTTTAATCTCAATGCCTACTGAATTTTATATTTGAAAGTTGAAAAATAATTCTTACATGCAATTTATGGAGAAAACTGACATATTTCCCTCAAATTAATGATCTTTAATACAGGAAGTCAAATTCAACTAGGAAATCTTGTATACAATCCTCCAAGAAATGGTCCAACCCTATGGGAAATTGGGATCCCCGATCGTACTCCTGCTGAGTTCTACGTGCCTGATCCATCGCCAGAGTGGAGGAACCATTTATTTACTAAACAAAATCAGAAGTAAGCTCCTATTAAATGATGACCATTGATTTTACATTAATTGAGCATTTGAGCTTTTCTCCAAAGAAATTCTTATCTATTTCTATTAATCACTTCTATTACATTCAGGTATAGACAATACGGATTGTGGGATAGATATACAGATTTATATCCTGATCAAGATCTAGTTTACACTGTTGGAACCAGTGATTACAGAAAAGATTGGTTCTTTGCTCATGTCAACAGGTATTTAGCGCACACTTTTATGATCATTTTGTTCTTCTGTAAGATGAACTCGCAAATTAATTCCAAATTATTGCAGGAGAACAAATAGTACATCCAAATCGACGACCTGGCAAGTTTCATTTGATTTAACAAATGTTGCGAGGACGCAAGCCTATACGCTCCAGATGGCACTAGCTTCTGCCACCTATGCCGAAATACAAGTATGGTTTATAAGAAGTTTTCATTTCTTATAGAATATTGAGGAAATAGGAATTATGAATATATCTNGGAAATAGGAATTATGAATATATCTTTCTAATGTTGATTCATTTCTTCTTATAGGTTCGATTCAATAATCCGTTCACAGCACGCCCTCACTTTACTACAAGGTTGATCGGAAGGGATAATGCAATTGCAAGACATGGACTTCATGGATTATACTCGTTATATAGCATTAATGTACCAGGATCTCGACTAGTGCATGGAAGAAATACGATATATCTAAAGCAATCAAGAGGCGGAAATCCTTTCAACGGAGTCATGTATGACTACATTCGCTTTGAAGGGCCACCAGAAGTCAAACACTAGACTGATCAATTGAATTAGTTTACATGCTGCTTAGTGCATTTTTTCGGTAGTTCTAGAAAATAAGTGAAAATCATACGTTAGCTCGGAAACTCCAGATTAATTGGAAGAGCTGCAATTGTAATTTTTCTTTCACACTGCAAAGCACAATTTTTCCATTTGATGATATGTAATTTGATCTTTGAAAGTTCAAACGTTCAAGTACAATATAATGTACAGGATTCTGTAACATTTTTTTGTAGCATGAATATGATTTTTTTCCCTTTATTTTTAACCATGATCATGTTTGGCACTTCTTCTGTCATGTTTCCGAGCAGCCAACTCGTGGGATGAGAAGTCCATCATTATTCACCAAGCATCGTAAACCGTATTGGGCACCCTTTTTCCAGAGACATCTTTAATTTGTTCTTCTGGTTTTCCCTGTTCAGTGATGTGATGAAGGATGCCAAGGCTATGAATCAAGGGTAGAATTTGCGATTTTCATAGGACAAGTTTTGAAAGGCTGAATATAGAGGTTGAGCGCATTTTGACTCGACATTTTCAAGCTTGAGAAACCAAGCTATGATACCATAATTCAAAAAAAAAAAAAAACAGAGTATAAAATTTGAGCAGAAACCTTTTTGTTTTTCTATTCAATATGATGATCAGTACATTAGTATAGTGGTTCTTATATAAAGAGAA